ATCCGTATTTTATTATGCTCCACATCTGGAGAGCTTTTATATCAAGCTGCATCAAAAGGATTGAAATATAAATCACAAAAATTAAGGCTAAAAGTAATGTGAACAATCAAGGTGATGACAAGTTTCAAAATCACCTACATAATTCATCACACATCAGAATTAGCTTGTTTGTATCCTATATCAAGAACCATCTTCATCACCACCACAAGCCATCCTGAAGCAATATTACTCAAATCATGTGTCACAAATTCTTATCTGAAACACTGGCATCTTAGTATGTCATTTTAAAATCATTTATGCCAATATGCATATTTCAGTCAAATATATCTCCCTACCATTCATTCTCCGGCTTTAATGTTTGAAAAAATGACTAACTAAAGTTGAAGTATAGCTTGACAAATAAGGGGATCAGTGAGAATTTATCATTTTACATATGTTATAAAACACAGTTTCATCCAGAAATATATTTGTGGGCCGAAAACAAAAACATTGAAACAATATTGAAAAAAATAAAAATAGTATAGCAAATTAAACAGAATTATGGATATTCAACATACTAGAAATATAATGAATGTAAAGTTTAAAATGTAAAAGGAATACAATATCTGTCCTAAGCATCCTTCTTTATAGATAAATTCTATGGAGATTCTCAGTCATCCAGGTCATGATTGTCCCAAAGGTGTTTTTCAGAAAAAAACTGGACTTTCTGGAGGAGGGTGGGGGGCATTGAAGACGTTTCATTTCCCATCCAAGAACCTTCCAGTTGCCTCTTGAAAAAGCACCTTTGGGACTCCAGGTAGATAGCAATTCTTATTAAGGCATTACTATTGGGGGTAAAAGGGGGACACGGTGGCTCAGTGGCTAAGATGCTGAGCTTGTCGATCAGAAAGTTGGCAGTTCAGAGATTTGAATCCCTAGTACTGTTTTTCAGAGTGAGCTCCTGTTACTTGTCCCAGCTTCTGCCAAACCTAGCAGTTTGAAAGCATGTAAAAATGCAAGTAGAAAAATAGGGCCACCTTGGTGGGAAGGTAACAGCGTTCCATGCGCCTCCGGCATTTGGTCATGCTGGCCACATGGCCATGGAGACATCTTCAGACAGCGCTGGCTCTTCGGCTTTGAAACGAAGATGAGCACTGCCCCCTAGAGTTGGGAATGACTACTATGTATGTGTGAAGGGAACCTTTACCTTTACCTGTTGGGAAAAAAGTACACATACAGTAGAAGTATGTGTACCTAGTTTTGTCTAATGAAGGTTAAATAGAAAGATACAATTTTTGTGTTGTTCAGTATACTGAAAATAGACATCTTTAGTCAATTCTATTTTCAGAATTTTATAATATCTACAAAATGAAATCTAAGAATAAACCAGCAATCTTTTCAAGGGGTTTAGGGATTCAGGAATTTTCCTATGATCATTTCGATTTAATTCTTCTAAATATCATTTTTAGAAATGTCAATAGAATGCTTTCTAGGATTCATTATTAATCCACTAAACCCATTTGGTAATAACAAATGCAACCATAGGTGTTACATGCTTTGTATTTTGATAAACATTATGTGCTAGAACAGAACATCTACAATAATGAGTAATCATTCATCAATAATAGTGAAATAGCATTTCCCAGACTAGAGCAATTATGGAAGTTCATTCTTCTTGTTCAGCCGTCGGGAAAAGCCAAATGATACTTTCACTTCTGCTTAAAACAACCCAGACCCAATGCTTAACCAAATTCCTTCACATACCTATTGTAACCTCAAAATTAATCGGTTTGTCTCCATTCTTTCTGTCAACCATGGTAGCCTCCAGGAAGGATCCAAAGAGAAAAAATTCCTCCATCTTGCCTGTGCAGCTCTGTGGGGTGGGGTGGGATATAAACACAGCAGTTTAAGGACTTCAACCCATGAAACGTATTTATTTAGATCATTGGTCAATATCATAGGTAGGAAACATGGAATCAGGGGCAGCAATATGTCTGCAAATAATCCCTTTGATGTCCACCATAGGAGACATAATATGCAGAAACAAGTTCCTCCTAAGCAGGGATTTTATAAGAGTATCCATAACAATTCTCAGCATTTTAAAGGAGTTCACCAACTCCAAAAGATTACCATACCTAGTAAGCTCTTTTCTTATTTGGTGGCATAGGAACGTACCAGAGAGTTTGTATACACAAAGCATGCACTTTAACAGTGAATTTTTTTAAAAAAAAAACCAATAAACTATGACTAACTGGAAATTGAGTTTAGATTTGTACATTCAGAGGAATCAAACCTGGAACCCCAGACATACGGCATCTCTTGGTGATATTGCTGAAACGTAACTCTGTTATTTTCTTAGATCTTCATCAAGACAGGTCTTAGTTCATATTGGAAAACAGAGCTATTTGCAATAAAGAATGGACTAAAGTCAATTGAAGGGAGGCTTCCCCACTAAATGGGATGGTGTGATGTCCTGAGAACATAAGATATTTTAGTTATTACAACATGGGAAACATACATCAGTGACAGGAGTTGCTAATTCAACTTGAACTTCTGTGGAACTGGTGATCTCAGGGTTGCTGGTATCCAAGATCTCTACTGCTAGGCCAAGAAGCAGGCGGGCTCGGAAGGAGACCCCTTCACCCAGCCCTTCATTCAAGTCCTGGTGCTCATCCATCAGGGTATAGTTGCGGGTGGACCCATACATGTTTACCCAGGCAGGACCAAAGGTGGGCAAGAAACCTGGTAGAGATAAGCAAAAATGGATAAATGTTCCTACCGAAAGAGCTTTTAACAATTCAGTTGCTTCATTTGCAACACATATGGCCATAAATGTTCTAGTACTGGCATTAAAAGAAGACAGTAATGTCTAGTAGATCTTCTAGCAAGCTATCCTCCTCCACTATTGCTTCCTCTAGCCTTTGCTACCTTGTCTTCTTTTGGGTTTCAAGAAAGGAATTGATCTAGTAATTGCTGTGTGCTCACACCAAAGGTGGGTTCCTACCGGTTCAGCCCAGTTTGGCCAAGCCGGTAGTGGTATGGCGGTGTGGGTTGCTGGAACCGGCAGCAACCCAGGCCTGCCACGCCCCTGAACTGGTTGTCGGCTCGGCAGCACCATCTTGTTTTTAAGTTCTACACATGTGCAAAGCAATTTTAATTGAATTGTGTACGCGCGCGCAGTGTACATCCAGTGTGCGTGCATGAGCGAAGCACGCCCCCGAACGTACCAGATGTAAAGCTGTCCGGAACCCACCCCTGGCTCACACCTATCATTTACTATTTACATTCAAAGGTTTTAAGTCGAGTAGTTTCATTTCTTTTTCACTGCTGATTGCTGAGGATATAAATAGGCTTGAGATGAGGCTGCAATTGTAGCAATGGAGATGATATTGTCTAGGCACACATACCTCAGAATAACAACATAACAGAATAACAAGAGTTGGACAGGACTTTGGAGGTCTTCTAGTCCAACCCCCTGCTCAAGCAGGAAACTTTAAACCATTTCAGAGAAATGGTTGTCTAATCTCTTCTTAAAAATCTCCAATGTTGGTGAGTGTCCACAACTTTTGGAGGCAAGCTGTTCCTTTATTAATTGTTCTATCAGGAAATTTGCCTTCAGGGGCTTTGGAGAATAGTTTGACTCCCTCTTCTTTGTGGCAACTCCTGAGATATTGGAACACTGCTATCATGTCTCCCCTAGTCCTTCTTTTCATTAAACCAGACATACTCATTTTCTGCAACTGTTCTTCATATGTTTTAGCCTCAAGTCCCTAATCATCTTTGTTGCTCTTCTCTGCACTCTTTCTAGAGTCTCCACATTTTTTTAGATTGTGGCAACCAAAACTGAATGCAATAGTCCAACTGGTACAGTGCAACGGGGCCGGGCATCCACCACATGAATGCGCACAGCGCACTGGCATCGTACTTACTGCCCGCGACACTCCGTGATGCTCTGTGACGCCTCTACGACGCTCCAGCTGCTTGGTGGAGCGCCGCGCAGGCGCCGTATGCTCCGTGTGCGGAAGCCCCCAAAACCTCAAATACCAGTAAGGCGCGCAGGCGGGTGGGCCCTCCAGAGCACTGTACCAGAATGGTACCCGGTGCTCCTGGCAGGCACCAGTACACCCGTATCGGGGCGTACTGGTTGTAATCCACACTGTTGCCAAGATATTATAAAGTCATATTAACACTTCATGTGATCTTGTTGAAGGCAGTGCAGCTGGACAAGGAAAGAAGTTGTCAGAGGAGACATGTTGCCAGGATATTAGCATTGACAGGTAAGTAAGCCATGATGGCCAAACCCACTGAAGTTTTAAATCTTTTTAAAATGCATTCTATTATAAGAATTTTATGAACCTTTGTTGTAAATAGAAAAAATATAACTAGACTTAGAGACAACTCACCAGAAGATGAAGAACAGGAACAAAAACATTAAGTAGGCAAAAAATAGAGGTGCCTGAATTTCTGCATCCTCCTTACCTTTGTCTCCTTCATTGGAGATCTTTCTCAGATCAATGAAATGGGTTCCAATAGCCACATCGTTGACCTTGTCAGAATCTCTGATCTGGACCTTGATCCTTTTGCAGAGAGGGGGAAACATCTCTGCAAAAACTATCTGTTCATTCCAAACAGGTTCATAGCTGCTCTTCTGAACAGATGTTTTCCCCTGGGCGATGGATATAAGATTGAAAGAATTTAGGAACTTGATGGGTTAAGGTGTCCATATTCTTAACCTTCTCCTACTGCTGCTCTTTCAAGATTGTATGAAGAGATTATGATGTCTCTGAATAAGAAGGCTCTATATGATTATTATTGCTATTCCTTGGGCAAATGAAACAGATTTCCACATGTAGATACCCTTGTATTCTTCTAATAGCTTAGAGGCAAATTATTTCACATATTCAAATGCTGACAAAATTTATATCTGCTTTCCACAATGGTGTCATTGTTTCAGGTCAATTCGCATAATACCCCAGCCAGCATGATCTCCGTTAAATATATCTGGAGAGCATCAGGTTGGGAAAGGCTGCTCTAAGGTCCTCGGTGTCAGGGTTCTGACGGATGCCCTAACTAAATCATGAGCCTTGAGCGAAGCTTCAAAAAAAATCCAGCCATTTATTAGGAGCTTCATGTTGGCACGTACCCAAGTGAAGCCAGCTCTGACCCCAAGTAATTTATGGCCCCAATCGATGACCCTGTTTCCCCTCTCTCCCCCAGGGTGTGTCGTCAATCACATTCGCTAAAGGGGCAATTTTGTGTGTTATAGAGACCACTCCCCTCCCACTACTGTAAGTAACCCTGGGATACAGCCTTGAGAGAGATAAATCTGGAATGTGTATCTGTCTTTTGCTGCCGTGCCGTTTCATCAGTTTCCCATGCCCCTTTCCTATGGCAACTCAAGAGCAGGCCAGGGATGCTTTGGGAGTTGACACTCGGACTGAATGAAACTCCTGAATAATTATCAGTTACATTCTGGTTCTTACTAAAAATGCCAGTTCCTATGCTAGGATAACATAAACGTATTTATTTATTTACTTATTTATCTATCAAATTTATCTATTTTTATTTATTTATCAAATTTATACAAAATAAACATGAATGAATGTCAGACCTGATCCATCAAGATCTCACTGGATATCACACACCTTCTGTCCTGCAAAAAACACCTGGACGTAAGGATCCACCAGGTCTTTGTTTTCCCCAATGAGGGCTTTCTTCACGTTGGCCATGATGCTAGTGTTCATGCGTGGAAGCCCCTCTGCCCGATAAATTTTAATGTAGAAGCGAGCCCATTGCCTTTCTGAAGGAACTCCATCTGGAAGCAGTAGGTTCCTGCAAAAACCAGTAAACCAGGGATGAATGAAGACTACTAATTTAATAAAAGATGATGGCAATAAATCAGTAGGGGATGATTTTGAGGAGAGACAAGGTGAACATTTTTCCTTAAGTTCTCAAATAGCAAACAGATACAATATAATAGCAGAGTTGGAAGGGACCTTGGAGGTCTTCTAGTCCAACC